GAACTCCCACCTCAAGCGCAATCTATCAATTCCAATGTGGGCGCGGTGACACTCACATAGCCAGAACAGAAACGCCATTGCGTAATCGGGTTTTAGCACTCATTTCGAACTGGGTTCTACGCAAGGCTGTCATGTCAATGTCCGCACAGCTGGGAACCGGTAAGCACTGTACCTACAAAACACAAAGTTCATCGATTGTCAAGCAATTGATGATGACGCAACACCTCGTTGATCGAGAGAGAATATTCATGGGGCTGGGACAAAATATCAATGTTGCCTTTCTGAGTCCTGCAGTCATTATCTTGCAAAAGTGACGAAATTGACCATTTAAGAATGTGTTATCTATCTACATCTGTCACAATCCGGAACGACCAGTAGTAAAAGAAGAGCAATGTGGGAAAGGCACTCACATCACTCGATGGTGTGTTAAATGTGACCCAAAATTCTTAACAATCCGTGTATCCATTAGTCTGAGCTGCTGTGGTGAAACTGCCGAGTTCCAATACCGAGATACACTGCAACTGGAATTGTGACTTGTCACGATGAAGTCGCTATGCCACCAGAAAAGGTTTACAACATTCACGTGTGTGGCTTGGAAGGATCGAAAAGTGCACTCTGCTATGATCGGTTATTCATACGTTTATCAGATGACATGCGATCGAAACTGTACGAGTGCTCATTCGCATGAAAAGAACGAAAAGTTGGAAATGGATTTTATTAATTTTAGTGATTATAATTATTAGAAACTTCTGACAGTGAGTGGAAAATGGTCCTCTCATGTAGGTCATTATTAACCAATCAGCGAGTAGACTACTAGTACTACTACTGTTACTGTGTCAAAAAACATGTGGATTGTAAAACTTTTGTTGCGCGGTATGATGCTTCGGATCAGAGCACGCGTTCATGCATTTGTTATATCAATATCATTTCTCGTCTTCCCGAAAGTAACAAGAGAGAAAGAGCGCATGCGCGATAAGGAGGATGTTCAATTAGTTGGAATCAAGAGAAATGAAGTAGTGAAGTAGGGGTGGGATATCCTCTGGATTGGTTTGTCACTTACTTTGATGCAGAACAAGTATTACATTATCAGAATTATGTGGATTTCCCGACGAATCGATGACTCAGTGAACAAATTTTTGAAGTTATAGATTACGCTAAGAATGGATACATCCGTTCACTCATTGGCAAACGCCTTCACGAATAAATGCATTGATTACGTGCTAATAGGCTGTAAAATTCCACCGACCAGTTGACCTGATATGTAAACCCGAAACGTTGGCGGTCCGATCGATCGGATAGAACAGCCTCAAGAACATTTTATCCATTTATAGAGTGCGTTTATATTCACACAAACATTCAAAGTCATTGTAGTAGTTATGGCTGAAGCAATTAAATCAACGTTGAATCATACACAATAAATAAATCCCTCGATTCATTACAACAATGTAGATCATGTCAACACTGGTTACCTTGTCGATTACTACAAACTTCGAACAAACGTGAATAATTCTGCAGTTGAGACCATGAATGTGGGGGAAGCAGCAAATTTGCATAGATGTTGAATAATGACAAACCTGCAGCCTGGTAGTAGCACAACCTTCCTAATCTAAACGATCGGATGTAGAACAAAAGATGACTCAATGGTTGAGGAGACGCATGTATATTTCTTTTGTGCATTTAACACAATGCTTCAGCAGTCAACATTAGCGTGGTTGCATTCAGTGGGATAGGGCCATTACAAAATTGTTTACTTGAAAAGATTTGAAAGTGACAAAGGTATATTAATCATGTACTTGTGATCAGCGACTTTCTGAATATAACCAGTGAAGGACCAATTGAGGCACTTTGATTGCGATTAACTCGGATAGAAATAAGCCTTAGTTACAACGGGACGGGACTTACGTAAATCGTGGGTGACCTTGAGTAATGGCTTGATCCGGAAAGAACAAGCTTCGGGATGCACCCTCATGAGGTGTGGGCACAAAAGAAGGATAGGAAAAATCTGGACAACCGAGCCTGAAAAGGAGATAGGTGTAACTTTTAGTAATTAAACACTAGTGTAGACAATTTTAGCCCCCATAAATATGCACAAAACGTGTACTGTGAACCAAACCATACAAAATCAGAGGCAGACTTTACATTTTGATGCAGTAAATACATGGTGAAAATTTGTTGTTTCGAACGCACCGGGGAAAAACGCTAAGCGTCAGGGCATAGCAACCTTTGGGAAGATGACTTTCCAATTGTTCTCTTCTTTTGCGCATACTTGGTTCCACCGTATTGAACGAGTGTAACAATTGCCCAAAAGGACTTCCAGGAAGACCCTCGATCATATATTCAGCATATTCCGGCTGCCATATAATAGGTCTGTAAAAATTTGGAAAAACGGTTGCAAAGCAAACGAGGCTTAGTCTGATTCCAGTTCAAACTTCGTCCAAGCAGAAGTGAAAATGTGACAATCAAAACTGTTAGTGACCATGAGTACTACAATGAAAAGAATTTCTCATGTGCAAAATCTTTAGCAAATTCGTACATAGAGCAGGTTGTATTGTTCATCCAAAGAACTCATATCAAGGGGCATTTGGATAATTCATCAATGTCACAATCAATAGAACTTTAGCTTGTAAATTATTATGATCAAAACCCGATATATATATATAATATTAATCTTTACAAATATAGTGCCAAAATAATTATGGGTTGAAAGCGAAATTTGGAAACAGAAAAATGAAGAAAACAAAAACAGTCAATGGTGGGGATGCTAACTTCTTTGCTTGCTCACTGCATTCAATTTTAAGTTTTTACTTTCGGGATTGGATACAGAAAGGAATGCATTCAGGCCACTGACTTCGGTTCGATGGTATTTCTTGCACTGTTGCCAGGCAAAGACAATCTGAATCTTCAGGGCACCAGTCGGAGAGCCAGAAAGTCCGACGGAAGCTGAATATGAGCATAATCACTTCAACCCTCTCCGTCACGTCATAGCCTGCCCACATCGCTGTCTCCCAGCCCAGATCAATGTCTGTAAATAGCGCACGGCATGGTAGACTTTGATCAGGCATTCGTAGGACGTGCCCCAGACAATGCTCAGTGGAATACTATCCGGCCTCAACACACGTCGTCTAACATCCGCGATGTTCCCACCATACGCCTGCGATCTCGTGCAGAAAACCGTTAACGAAGTCGTTGGGCATGATCTGCTCGGAGAGACCAAGCTTCGCAGCCGTAGAGTAACGCGGTGCGTACCATTGCGCAATACACAGGCCCTTTCACTGGAAGAGATATGTCCTGTCGGCTCCAAAGATGCGGTAGATTAGCAAATGCCAATCTAGCTTTGATTACGCGTTGAAAGATTTCCTCGCCCGCACCTCCACCAGCAGTTATGTAAATCCCAAGGTAGATAAAGCTTTTCGGCTATTTTTAGATTGTGTAGGAGCGGGTTCCCGCCAATGTTACAACAGTACCTTGCACTTCACAAGTGCAACGGATATACCATAAGGAGAGATAGGGCAACCCTGTCGTACCCCAATGGTGACAGTAAATGAGGGTGAGAGTTCACCATAGACCCTAACCTTTCCCGAATTTTGGCGGAACATAGCCTTTAGAAGCAGGACATACTTCTGTGGCATTCCGTATCTCGGCAAACAGTTCCACGGCACGTGGCGATCGATGGAGTCCAAGGCCACTCTGATGTCCAAAAACACGACAATGGTTTGTCGTCTGTATGCGTGGGGGTGTTCTCGCAGCAGACTTAAGGTGAAGATTTGATCTATGTAACCACGGCGTGCACGAAACCCAACCGGCTATTCGCGGATTTCTCATTCGCGAAATGGGCTTAGTCTGTGTAATAAAGCGAACGCTAACAGCTTCGGTGCTATTGAAATCCAACTTAAGCCCCCTTTGGTTGGAACGGGAATTGCGATGGCCCTTCTTGTAGATGGGTGTAACAATCGATTCTCCCCACGTATGGGATACAGTTACGTTCGCCCAGATTTTCATAAGCAGGCAGGCAACCTCTCTCCCTCGCGTGCGCGCGACACCAAAGTCTCAAGGCAGACGGCTGTTCTGTCACCGAACGCGATCGATATTCGGTGATCTCTACAGTAATTACGGTGATCAAGGTCATCAGGTTACAGTAGACACGGTGGGATCTGGTAGACAGGGATGATTGCGTGACAATGTGATTACTGACTGGAATAAAGATGCATGATAATCAATATTGATACTTCGCAAAACACTGGTTGGTCAGATCTGAAACAAATACAGAACAGATGGTAAATTTACTCGACCTGATTCGTTTTGGGTGTTTGAATTACTATTACTCCGTTACTGTTGCATCGAGAGAAAAAATCGGTATCTGTTCCTGATCATAACAATAGAAACGTACTATTCAGTCACACAAAAACTTATTACCAGTTTACGTGTGGAATTTACCGGGGCCAGAAGCAGAGTAATATGATAAGTAGATATAGTTGAATGTAATTGTCTAATTATGCATCTGGTTTTACATGTGATAGACTAAGCTCATCGTCCCCTTTCTCATCGAACGAATTTGGTCATTCGGAATGTGAAAAACTGATACTTAGATAAACGAAAGTGATAAGGCTGTGGAGGAACAAAGCGAATTCAACTCGGAATGGGCGTCGAGATGTCAAAAATAGTAGCTCAGCGCATTTGACGAAGTAACAGGGAACAACAAAAGAGTGAAAATCCAGGTCAATGCGCCGTACTGTCTGAAATTTTTGTCCAATGAGATTCTCTGCCAAGAAGTGATGCAAAGCCGCAAAATTCACCGATTGGACGTTACGTAACGCGGTTACGTAACAGAGTTACGTAACAAAAGGTTACATAACGGTTCGATCATGTGAAATCGATGATACCATTGCAAACGAAAATGACTTAATGAACAATAACAAAGACTGTTTATCCTGATACGTACGTAAATGTAAACACCTTCAAAAGTGTATGAAACATGTGACTGGACGTCGTACGTCAGATTACGTAACACAGCTGTTTTAGAGGTGCGATAAACATCAATGGATTGTGTTTATGCCACTCAAGTCGGTGGATTTAATTTGAAGACGCAAAACTAGGCCCAAATAAAAACCCAAAATAAGTTTCCAGACCAACGCAGTCACGTGCCATAAAACAATTATCAATTAATACGGTCAATCGAATGCAAAATTTCACCAATGTTAATAGATGAATCGTTTTCTATGGGGCAAGGGATTTCAATAGGAAGCGCGCACAGCATTCGCGTCACTGACTTCTATTCTGGGTCACATCTCCTAATGTCTTTAACTAACGGAGGTCCTCATCCATTGGGCCCCAACCACGGGGGATGAGTGAAGGCATAGGCTCGTGCCAGTCGTAAACAAGCACTTTGCACTGGATGAAGTATAGCACGTACCATACCTGAATAGCTCGATCGCCAAGCGGTTTAAAGTGTGTTGAGCCGCCCGACTATTGTCACCCAGCAAGGCAATTTCATCGGCATATCCTGAGTCAACCAGTCTGCTCCCTAGCAGGAGTTCAACTCCACCTTTGCTAGTGTAATCGCACAAAAGCCTAAAGCACAATATATATATTTATAACACCAATCTTTACAGATACGGCGCTAAATAACCATGGGTGAACGAAAAATATGGGTAAGAAGGCGGGGAGATAAAACAGTCAACTTTGGGAGTAGCAACTTTCTTTGTTTGTTTACTGCACGCCATTTTGAGGACGTTAGACGTATCACTATAGGATTATGAGACTGAAGAGCAAACAGTATGGAATGGTATCACCCTAACCGAACTTCCTAATAGAGGCATATGACACAACTCTGAATACCAATACCACATCAGGCAAGTGAAACAACTAGAAATGAACTTGATTCATTGGTACCGTTAGTACTTATTTGAGGATTAAAATCACTGAAAATTATCAGAAATAAACCGATATAAAAAATGGGTCCGATCTAAATGAAATGCGTAGTGTTTGGGTATACACTTAAAAATTAATCTATAGCATACGCAGTGTCAATACTGATGTATGATGCATACTAGCTTTAGGGAGTCTACAAAATATACGGATGATGTATATACAATTACAAGCAAACATACTCGCCATTCTCCTCCAGCGAAGGTAATTTATGCAGTAAATCAGAGGCGGCGAGTAACAGTTGGGCATTCCCAGAATGAGGATCAAATCTGATGAGCGTGTACTCTATCTCGTCTCCGAACTTCAGTTTCTTTTTCAATCGCGAATGAAGCTTGTTATACAAATAAAGAAATTGTTTGATTCCTTGTTCTTGTATATATCGCGCGTGCTTCTTTGTTTCACTCCAATTTAACGGAGCTCCACTAGTGAGTAGTCCCATATTATCTGCAATGGAAATACAAATCTCGATCAACAAAGGACGCTTACATATCGGTTTAATACAGCATTGTACACCAAAGGAGAACCGTTACCTTAGGAGAGAAAGAACGGTTATGTACAGTGACTAATACAAAAAAAGAAATACTGTTTTGTCGTATATATATCTATCATCGGCTTGAGAAGCAAGCCGATATATTCTTTATATAAAGTGATTAAAAACTGCTCCGGGTGTGGTGGTATTCATTCAAGTTGGCGTAGATCATGGTTAACTTTTTGTCATCCAACTCTCTAATGTATGTGTTTTAGAATTTCTATTCTCATACAAGACTAACAAAGTGTATTTTTAACAAAACAGTAAGAAACCCTGGCTCATCTTGATCACATATAGTGGGGTAAAACGAAAAAATACTGCGATAAAACAAGAGATAAAATATTGTTGTATGACATTTTGATTTAAGAGCTTTTGTTGGTGTGTAGAAGAACAATGGATTAAACAGCTCCGCTCCTGTACCCAGTTACAAGTCATTCCGTCCCGAGTTTCTAACTAGAGACATTTGAAACCATATGGGCACTAAAGTCTAAGTGGGAATGAAATAACACACGTAAGGCTTTCTGCCAACCTTATCATTTCATCTCGCCATATCATAGTCTGCTATCCAAAGGCTTCATTCTAGCCTTACCCAGCTACCATACCCAGAGGTAGCGCGTGCCTCAACGTAATGATGCAACTGAGCAGTGGGACCAGATAAGACAAGTAATGCATTCCGCAGCGAATGTTGCTTGTTGGTCTGAGCCTTAAGTCCGACGGAGGCATTGAATATTTCATGAGTCAATAGCCCTGAAGGATAAAGGAACGATGAATCCCGACCTGCCACAATCAAAGCAAATTTAGGTGGTATCTACAACGTCAGCTCACGAAGAGCCTCAAGAAGGATAGTGAAAACTGGTGGGCAACAATAGCTAGTNAAATGGAAGCAGCAGCTGCATTCGGTAATAATCAAAGATTTTTCCGACGGATACGTAATATGGAAGATCGGCGAACTACAGTTAGTGAAACAGTTTCCCATAAGAGGGGACAAGCTATTCACAATGAGGATCAACAACTTGTTTGCTGGACAGAATACTTCAACGAAAAGTTCAGTTGGCCTGCCTCTATCCAGGTCACTTCGTCTGTAACTCAAGCTCCCTGGACAGTGCCGCGTGATTCTTTAAAAGAAGCAAAAGTTTGTTCTCGTATTCAAGGTCTGAAACGAGGAAAGGCCGCAGGGTAGGATGAGCTCCTTTACACTCTCTTCAAGATGGGGGGTGATAACCTCGTAAACTCCATTACTACCGTACTGCGCAATACTTGGACGCAAGAGTGCATTCTTTGATCTTGGGGCGAATCACCGATCGTTCCCATTTTCAAGAAAGGATCTCGCAACAAATGCGAAAACCATAGAAGGCTAATTGTGATCCCGATCGTCGCCAAAGCCTCGGTCATGTTTCGATATCTGGCTCCTTTAGGAGGGATCAACATCCATGAACAGCAAGTCGGACTCCGGTCTGATCGTGGATGTATTGGTCGAATTTTTACGTTGCGTGTCAGGTCCTTAAGCTGCGTCACATCCACCGTCGACCAACGATCCTTGACCTGAAAGGAGCGTTTGACTCCGTCGACCGCGAACCTAAAATGTGTTTCCATCTTTGAAAATGAATGCCCCAGAAGTACGTTAACTTACTGAGGTTACTGTATTAACATTTCTCTGGTGGAGTGAGAGTTTACAACAAACTAAGTAGGCCGTTCGTCACCAGCAGCGGCGTTCGTTAAGGGTGCCCGGTTTCACCGTTCCCGTTGAATTTCGTCGCAGACGAAATAATGGAGACCGCACTTAGTGGTATCCAAAACGTAGGTATCAAATGGGCAGCTGGAGAAAAACTGTGCGATTTGGAGTACGCCGATGTCATTGTTTCTCTGTTCGAATGTATTCAGGACGCGCAAAACGCACCTGATAAACTAACAACTGTGGTTGCCACATTCGGTATGTGCTTTGCACTTCGAAGTGCAAAGAAATGCTGCACGACTGAGTGTCGCCTACTCCCGCTCTGAAGCTAAATGACCAGGAATTAATTATGGTGGATTACTTTTCGTACTTAGGTAGATGCGTAACCAGTGAGGGAAGCGCAGCAAAGGAGATAACCTCTCGTATTTTCAAGGCTCGAGCAGCATACACCGGACTGAAACACCTTTGGTATAGATGAGACGTCTTACTGAAGTTGAAAGGTTGTGTACATTGTGCTAGAGTTCATTCAATCCTGCTTTATGGTTGTGAGACTTTGAGTTTGCGAGTAGATATCCATCGACTAGAACTTTTCGATTATCGGTGTTTACGTAGTTTAGCCCATATTGAATGGAGCGAACGGGTTAGTAACGTGGAGGCAGGCCATCGTGTGTTTGGAGTCTGTCAGGCATAAACCTGCTAGCATACTGAATTCAGATTGGTTGCTCCACTGGCTAGGGCACATCGCGTATGTTTAGCTACCGTCTACCACATCGCGCCTTATTCGCTGTAGCCGCTCCGGGCTGGAGGAAACCACGTGGAGGTCAACGGATGACGTGGAGACGATGCATGCACAAAGCCATTAGGTAGAGTAGGTGTCTCGCGCCTTCCAGGTTGGGGTCCGAAAGACTGCAACTGGTTGGTTGGAGACACTGAAAGATGTGGCAGCGAACTGACAGCAGTGATGTTCTTGTTATCATTTCTTATCAGATCAGAATGCTTGAAACGATACGCATGCAGAGTCTGATTGTACATTCTTTGTGCTGATCATAGAAGATCATCCGTTTCCTCCCTCAAATTAGGTTCACTCCCTGTCCTTAAATGGTACCACTAACCTTGTATGCATTGCAATTTTGGCAGAAATCAATGATGTTCGCTTCGCTGTATTTTGCTGTACGATGATGACGATGACCTAGCGCTCAAGAACAAAGCAGGTATTGACAAACACTGATAGAACATTTAAAACGTTCACTTGAACCATCTCAAACGGTGAAGCAAGACGAAAATTCGGAGGGAATGACTTCCGGAGCCTAATACGCGTTGACGGACGTGGTTCATGTTTCTCCCATCACATGCGAGCAACTGCAACACTAATATATTTGTTGAAAACAGCTAGCCGACGAATAGCTTCAACACGAACTGATCAGTTTTCGGATCCATTTGTTAACACTACGCGTATTGTGACAAAGTACATTCGACCTTTCAGAGAAGGGCTATTTTCAAGCCTGTGACCGACGGCTCAAAATGACGTACAGGAAGGCCTTACCAACTCTTTTAGTCATCCACTCCTCCACCAGATGCGATACAGCGCCCGAAAGAACATCCGTCTACCCACCCAGGATCTAATGTATGTAAAGGTGGTTCAATGCACAAAAGATACGCAATACCAAACATTAAATGAAAAACGACGCATGAGAAACATCTAGTGTCATAAACAGTGGCGTTCGTGCATCTTCTCAATTTCTTTGCAACATTAATTCACTTAAATTGTCAATTTTCTGTTCGATTTCACTTTCAACTTTCTTGTCTTCCTCTTACTGTTCATCCAAATGAGCAGCCAAAAGACAACAACCAAAACAGCGCAAGAAAGTGCATGGTCAATGGTTGAACAAACTGAAACTGAAACCAACAATGATGAGGCTATGTGTAGTGTACTTCGGGACAGGTCTCGAATGCATATCGGGAACCCCTACCCGGAACTATATGCGACACTACCATTTTTGGCCGATAAACCATTGAATTGTGTAAACACCCTATGGGGACAAGAGAGACATGAGCTTGTAAGTCCCATAATAAAACTTTGACCTTAGTCTGGGATTGCTGTAAAATAGTTCATAAAATTTATATGAATCTCCCCGGTGAATAACTCCCATCGCGAAGGGACAGCAGTTAACGAGAAACGAAGCTTCCCGGTTCAGGAACCAGTGAAAAGTCGTTGCGTAAGATTGGTGGTTGACTTTATAGTACCAAACAGATGAAAAAATTAACCATTGGAAAATAAATAAATCTTATCGTTGCATATAATATGGAGAAACACCAAATTAATTGTATTAGTCATTAAAAACGGTAATGATGACAGAAAATCGATGAGCGACCACCAATTATGCAAAACATCTTGTGAATACCTGAGAGAAATTCGAGATAGAGGGAGTTTATATTCCCGTGAAAAAAGCAATGAAATCTTTAGTATATCTAGTGAAATTACAGAATTTCAGGATTCGATGTCGACCAATAAACACTGAAAACTGTATTGTGCCGATTGCTTTTTTGTTACTAACATCTCAAGAGGTTAGGAAGACGTTACTGCTTTCATCAGCTTAAGGTATCATAAACCTAAACCTTGTACGACTGTTTTGATTTTTCTCTGCCACACTTTCGGTTCATAAAAAGGGACGGAAAAGATCGAAGAGAATTCAAGAGAGTACTATCAAAATAGGGACACTGTATAACAATATTCTGCATAACCGTGCCAAATGAGTAGATGCACGAGCGCTACTGTTTGCAAAGCCCACCAATATCACTGTGTCCTCAATAAGGGATTACACTGATCCCGAGAAACCTGAATACAGAATTTAATCAGAACTGAGTGGTCGAGAGCACCGCTCAGGGTTTTCAACCCCACATGCCAAATCGTATTCTGAACATCACTGACTTTCTTCACAAATCAAAGAAGTGCATCAGGTGACATGCGTAACACATATACCGAAGAAAGCAATCCGTGGAAGTTGAGCACCCCACCCGGTGGACCAACGCGATTGCCTAAAACACTAAGCAGAATCTCAGAATAGTTTGTCGGAGTCCTGCTCCCCCCCCCCACACACACACAAATACAATTTGGCGCAGACAACGGTGTTCCAACACCGATATTCCACCTATGTACCAAAAGCCTCAGTATGGTCGAGGGTGGGGCTGGTCGCAGCTGGTCACCGTTCCCCTGCACCTCGCGAAATGCTCCCATACG